GCAGCTCTTCTTACTTGCGTTTGTCGTCATATCAAAATTGCGCAACGACGAGTGTGCAGCTGAGTTCTTCAAGATTTCACCAAAGAAAATTAACCCGACGTCCACGAACCCCACTGCGCTATGAAACGCCAGGTATACGCTAATGACACGCAATAAGAACGTTGGGTGCGCTAGAGACACGTGTAGCACGTATTCGCTGCATGTTCGCTGGACATGCGTTTGAAACGCGCTAGTATGCGCTAGGTGTGCACTAGGCGTTCGCTAGACGTCGTCCGCTGAAATCACAACGAATACACAGCGTGTGCTCCGCGCATATCTGGCGTCCTCATGGCGTTTACATTCATGCGTCGAGCTCCGCGCACATTTTTGAGCATGCTAAAATAATCCCGACGCACATAGCGAATGACGTCGAATGCATAACGTTGGTCTAGCGCGCTCGACGAACGAGTTACGAATGATGACGCACACCTAGCGAACGATAACGCACTGGCTAACATTGCACAATTTAAATGCGCGGGCCGTCCGTCTCCTATGTGTGATCGCCCCATAAGGAAACACCATTCAGCACCCATGCTGCCCTCTTGAGGGCCCTGCAATTATCATTACCCCAGCAATTGACACGAACCCATTTAAACAACTGGGTGGAGATTGGCTGATATGGATTCATGTCTTGCCAAAAGACGATATTGGTGGGTTGGGAGGTGCAGTGAATTTGAAGTTAAGCCACTATACCACGACACTTCCACAATACTAAAATATCAAATTATTAACTAATTTAGAACTAAAAAGAGATGATTTTGGGGTAAGCGACGTTGCAGCCCCCTGGAAAATTGTTTTGGGTACGCCTTTGACAAGATATGCGGTATAGAGTGAACAAATCAGGACAGGTGTAATTGTCCGAGGTATTTGTTCGTGTTATGGTGATTGTCCTGGAAAGAGCCGTCCCGATAGGATAAAAAGTCACTCATAAAACACTAATACGAGGCAAGAGGTTCGATAATTCAGATAATTGATATCTAAAAAGTTGATGAAAGGCCTGATCGCAAAAAAGCTCTATATGTCAACAGGAAGTGTGTCCAGCTTAATACATGCTTTTACAATACCTCAGTCACACTGAGGGGACCGGAAGCAGACCAAAAACAGACCGAACGAAAATTGCATTACTTCGAATGACAATGAGCTGTTTTGAGTCGGTGTGGAGTCACTGAGGTATATTGATGGCCAAGAATATGTCGGTTTGGAGTCGGTTATGACTAGCGTCGTATCCTACTTTTATAGTCAAGCCCCCAAACTGGCTCAAAACAAAATGGAGACTGCCCTAGTTTGGGCCGTATTCAGTTGTTGTTCGGTCTGCAGTCGGTCTGGTGTTAGCCTCATTAGTGTGATAGTGATGTAAGCTTATGAGGTATAGAACATTTCTAGTTTAAGATCGTGAAGGGAGGCAATAAACCTGTTCATTACCAAAAAGCTTATAATGAGACGCCAATCTCTTGGTAAATCAGTGAGAGATAGATGCCATAAAGGTTTACTCATGATGAGAAATCCCGATCATTGATCAGATGAAGATAATGATATAACTGATCTGCAAGAGTTAAGACACGGGCTCTTCTGCAATCTGTTTTATTACCAGAAAAAGAAGGTGCTACAACTGATGTTTAACTTCTAATGACAGAGTAATTGGAGTTGCAAACTCATTTGATTATCACACCAAAATTGACATACAAAGTCAACAGCAATTATTAACTTACCACCTGGCAATATGAAACTGAAGAACAAACACAAATACACACTCTGAAACCATGGAACAAAATGATCCCTTTGACGAGCCATTCTGAGTAAGGAACTACGACAGCGTTTAGTCTTAAGAGATAGACGTATATATACCAAGTGCAGCTTGAACACAAAACTTACAATTGACCGAACAGACCATATGTACTTTATATCTCAGACTCGATCTCGAGTTCCGCTCATGCAACCTCAAATTCCGCTCCATTTATTAATATGTGCTTTATATCAGAAACCCGACCTCTAGTTCCGCTCATGCAACCTCTATTTCCGCTCCTTATATTGATGTGTGCTTTATATCAAATACCTAACCACTATTTCCGCTCATGCCACATCATAATTGTAGTTCAATTTTGATTTTTGTTCTGTTCCTCCTTACCTATTTTGAGGGGTCTTTTTTTCGTCCATAATGTATTATCTTCTAGGATATTGCTTTTAGTGACCTTACATTCCATAAATTGAATATAGAACGCTAACAAGTTTCTTTCCACTTCATTTTTGCTCATTAATTAACGCAACATTCAACTACATAAAATGATACACTTTGTAAATCAATTTTACCAGCCTCAAAAATAGGGAGGACAAGAAATAATTTAGGTGTTTTCGTGTTATTATCTTGCCATTTAATTTCTCATTATAATTAATGGGTATTGCATTATAAAGATATTGAGTGAAGTTTATATACTGTATCGATCAAAGAGCTGTTTGGGTAAACTATCATTGTTTACGATTTCTTCATCAAATTAAGTTAACATTCGATATGTAAAATCGTTACACATTTGAATAATAGTTTTCTTTCAAATTCGAAGATTGCACCAACAAAAAAGTGTTACAAACCATGTGAAACCAAGTACAGTATTAATGATTATACCTATTCAATTGGCCAAGCAATTTGTTGTCGTAAACGTAATTATAGTTAAGTCCGATAATATAAAATACCGTGTATCTAATATCAAGTATTTCACCACACCAATAACAAATAAGTTTAAATCAATTTTCCTTTTATTGTCTACTTTTTGTTAATTGTACCTTCCATTTTCCTTGAAAAGGTATGCGGTTTTATGCTTATTAAGCTTAAAATGTATAATCCACATGAATCTCACATGAGACGGAACATTTATCCATAATTTTGTTATAATCGTTATATATACATCCAGCATTTTACAAAGGGGGGGGGTGCGAAATGTACGAAATTGCGAGGGCGAAGCCTTTACGGCGTGAGGGTCGGGCCCGCTTAAGGGCCCCGGATAATGTTGAACCTTAAGATGCTTTGAGACATTTCTGAACGTTTATGTGAATATTTCTGAACGTGTATGTGAATATTTCTGAACGTGTATGTGAATATTTCTTAACTCCTTTCCTGCAAATTGTTTTGAAGGGAATAAAAGGTGGAGGCGTGCGCCCATGCTCCTTGGATCCGCCCCTGACAACTCTGCCTTCACTCAAAGCTGATATACATAGGCCTACATGTGTATTTGTTAAAATTGTTGAGACAACACAGCCCTTGGCTAAATTATACATGGAAACATATTTATTGTTGATTGTTTTATCGTTTACACTAGCAGTGGCCGTTATTTGCAAAGCCTCCTTCTGGAACAAAACAAAAAATGAGCTAATTATAAGCTATACATGTAAAATGACAACTTATTGAGCACAAATATCACAACTTATTTAGAGTTATAGAAAATACAACTGTAGCATTACTTAAGCGTATTGCATACAGTTTCTTTATCAACATAAATTGATAGAAGATATTTTCACTTCTTATCGCCAAACCACCCACTTGTCAAACATATTTGTGTAATCAGTTATTCTTACACCAAGAGCATCTACAGTTCGATATTGGGGATAATGATGGGGAAGGTGTGCAAATATATGCATGCTAGTTAATACTTTAATAATTATTTGACGATGACGCATGCTTGTGATCTCTTCCTAGTGTGTCATGAACATCTATTCTTGTCTCAAAAATAGATTAAATTAAAATTGATTCACTTGAACAAAAAGGAAAGCAGTATTTAAAAAAATGCTGCAGACTCCTTACTAAGACGATCACTGTATTTGATCGTTGGTGTTCTAGATGATGAAGATATAATATCGCAGTTCATAAAATCCTCTTACGCGCTATCACATGACATCTCATTCCTTATCTGCGGATGACTCCTAATTTCTACAAAATTGTTGAAAGCTCTTTTTTAGTACAAATATTCGAAAAATTAAGAAGTACTTCCACATTACTATTAAAACAACACTTTTCAGAGGGACAGTTTATTGCTCGCGAAACTCTGTGTACTTCCATCAAGACGAATACTACATTTTGATATTCGCTGAAACCAGTCACTGAAATGTATTACTTTTTCAAATTTCTTAGAATTAATAACATTTAAAAAATATGTATATTAGATGAAAAATGTAATTGTATATTGACTGCTATAAGAGGCATCGCTGTTGGTATATGCTCAAGGGGACGTTACATCCTGATATGACCCCGAGGCGCGCCGGGGCGGGTAGCGCCCCGAGGACGTCCCCTAGAGCCAATCGCGCTGTCTAATGAATATGCATAATATCTTGAAGTATCATTATTTTGACTCCACGCCCCAGACCTCTGGTTCCGCGCATCGTAATAAATATATACTTCACCCTTTATTTTAATTTAAATAAGACTTGACGGTCCGTATTTTACAATTCAGTTGAACTTGACCCTGTTCTAAAATTACGTTTAACAAAAGGAAAAACTGAGACCTACGATTAACCTCCTATGTTAAACCCGTTTTAACCATAACTAAGCATAAGCCAACCGTCGGGTTTTTAATATTTTGTTTCGTCTAAGGATATTTAATTACTTGCCATATATACATCTGCACAAATATATGAATTTTAACATGGTCATATAACATCAGACATAAACAAAAAAAAGGGTCGTCATAAGCAAAACTTGAACTGACGTCCTTGTTATAAATAAAACATGTATATACAATATTTATACGTAATTTTATGTAAACAATGCATGAAAGAATAGCGGTCGGTCAACACAAAATTAAAGAGAGAGAGAGAGAGAAAGAAAGAGTGTAAGAGAGAAAGTAATAAAGGGAAAAGGAGAGCAAAGAAGTGCATTCAGATATTATTAAGTGGAACATTTAACGTCTGTACATGATTCCAGCTTTGCATGAATGGTATTGGAAACTTGTATTCGATCGTGGGTGCTGTACTTTCCTTCAGAGCATTGATTCATTCTCAGCCATTTCACACTTTGATCCTTTCATCTTCACTCTGTCTGATGTTGTTGTCTTTGACCTGGATGATGTCGTCGAGGAGACTCTATCGAGGCATGTACAATAGTCCCGCCAGAGCTTGAACACACGCTTGTTACAAACGAATGCAATGAAGATATAGACTCCCTGGAGAGAGTCGATATACCAGAAGATATACCAGAGAGCTGTGACATCAGCAAAGGCAGCTACGAAACCCAATATCGAGGTGAAACCGAGCAGTGTGGACATCTGTTTTAGAGAGGGACAGGAACAATTAAAGAATATGGCTGATCAGCACCAAAGCATTACATGGATCTGATATTGCAATTCATGTATTATATACGTAAGTGTGCCATAGTTGTCATTTTGTAGCAAAGATTTACATGGATGATACGTTTGTCGAGATATATTGAGCATAGAACATATTGATGCAAATGCTAATTTCACGACGAAAGTTTCCATGATAGGTAAACATGCTATCAAATAATACAATAAAGTCAAGTTTTTCATTCTTTGCTTTGTGCTCAGGCAAATCCGGAAATGAAGGAAATCTTCTTCTAGATTTTGTTTGATATCCTGCAATTGCATATCTATCCCGAGTACTTTGACTCATGAATACTCACCTTTATGTAAATCAAAAGGTCCGATCGGAGACTAGAATATTTGCTCTTGTGTTTGTTGACAGGGCTCATTCTCTTCTGAAGAAGACCGGCAATTACCATGGCGAACAAAATGAGATTGAAGAAAAGAAGAGAAGCGACGGGGATCGCAAAGACATACACATCGGCCATACCATCACCGATCCAACAGTTCACTGTCCTGTAGGTCAGGTTGAAGTGTGGAAGCTTGGTGCCGCTGAAGTAGATTCCAAGGCACGGAACAACCACAAGGATTGGACATCCCCAGGCAAACAGAAGGAACCTTGAAAGTACTGCAGCGCCCTCATCGGTTCGGCCAAATTTTGTTGCGATGCCGAATCGACGGTGTAAATCGAAAGCAAGAGCCGTTGTGTGAGAGGAAACTGCGAGCCACATGTAATGGTCCAAGATGGCAAATGAGAGGCACACATTAGAATTCATCGCGGCTAGTTCTTTAAATAAGATGACAGATTGGGCGAAGATCAGAATTATGCAGAGACTCATAATAGGAGTGTTCGACGTGGCTTTTCGAAGAAGGTTGAATTTGAGATGAGTAACATTATTGTTAGGTTATGAGAAATTATAGACAAGGAAAATTCGATGTAGACTATAATAATCTGAGAGGGGTAAAAACGGAAAAATCTAAGAACAGACTGCACACTTTGCAAGACGTAAGCGCAAACTAAAATGGTGTCATTTCCAACATCAAGATAGTCATTCGGCGCCAGGGTTCTGTTAAGGGGTGAGTAAAGGTAAGATCCATTGCCCAAGTCAACAAACAGTGATATGTTCTGTGATACGAATGCACATGTTTCAGATGGAACTTCACATCCTTGTAAACTTTCTCGTTTGAAACTCATCTCCGTTGATGTGATATCGTATTCAATTACATAGAGAGATTCCACAAGGCTATACTTTGTTTTTCCTACGACAAATACCTGTCTTGTTGTGTTTTGGTATGATTTTATAACTTTATCTTCAGACACGATTCGGTGAGGACAACTTTCATTTAGGTTGCTGCATCCAACAGATATCATGAAACTCATATTGCTGCAGATGCCATTCCTAGTTGAGTGTCGTGGGCTTGTGGAAAAGAATACACCATCCAGGTTTTCTTCAGAACATTTTGTATTATTTTCACCGGAAAGAAAATATGAAAGGACTATAACAATGAAAGGGATAATATCATAATCCAATCCTAACACACAAGCGCTCACGCGCATACACTGTCACACACGTACGCACACACGAACAAACCCACGTACTTCAGAAGGAAAATATAGAAACTTGTTGACAGTAAAACAACTACAAGATACAGATTGGAATGAGAAATTTATTAGAGATATATGAACAATCTAGACTTTAGCAATATTGTTGATGATTAACTCTTCCATGTTCCATTTATCCAAAATTCTGTTCAATCCCGTCTGTCTCTTAAGAAAAATATACACATATTTCTTGAATATCTCTTTTTTTTTAATGTGAAATATATCCTCATCATATGTTTACACAAAATAATTGTGTAGTGATTTTTAAGCAGGCAACTTACTTATCTAACGTCTTTCAATCTTACAGAGTACTACATGCCTTTGTAAATGTCATGATATTTTCAATCGTTTAAAGTGCATTATCACCCTTCTTATCAGGAGTTAGATTAACGGAGCCATGACAAGAGTCTGCAAAGCATTGCGTGTTTTTTGTTTGTTAATTCAATGTTGCAGTTATATTGTAAACAGTAATGCCCGTTGCACACGAAGTGTTATTTCGATTTCGTTAATCGAGCACAGGAAAACAATCCGTGTGTGTGGCTTGTGACAGTAATTTAAAGGGATAGTTGAGCTCTGTTTTCGGACCGCAAATGCCTTCAAAGTGCACGGTTATTGCTCTTATTCTTATCTATGACATTTCTAGTGCCCTTTTAGAACTTAAAATTGCTATGAAGGTAATTTGAGACCCCAAAATGTATGAAATTTAGCCAATATGATCATACCAATTCAGCTCCACTTTCAAAATAATATGGTCACCGTTAATTATTTATCTAATTAAAAATAACAATACAAGGGTCGGCTGGTTGTGCATTACATAACCAACATGAAAATGCCAACAAAAAAGCCAACATTGGCATTGGCTGAAATACGACTTAAAAGGCGCTATTTTGTTTTTTTCAACGACTTTTTCAAATTATCTAATATTGTGGTGGTACAAAAGTATTAGAAATCGTTATATTTATGGATATTTCAGCCGTCTCTAAACTTATTTTGATCAAACAAAGATGATTTTGTCATTTAAATTGTATGTTCTTTCAAATTTGACACTCAGTTTTTCATTATCTCATTATCACAAAAAATTATTGTGTGTAGCGCTCTCTGCAACAGAACTCAACTATCCCTTTAACGCAATGTTTCCACTTTTTTGCGTTCACATCATGTACGCTGTCACTCTCATGCGATGCGTTAAAGTCTGCATAAATCCTGACGCAGTCGTACGTCAGTAAATGACGCTTCGTGTACACTGGGCATTATGTGATTTGTTTAGCATGGTTCAAGATTCGTTGGGGACGTATAGAAGGAGGTTCTCCGAGTCGTGTAGCTCAGTGACTTTGTCTCTGCTAGCTGATTCTAGGATGACGTCACGAAGGCTATCAGGTGATAAGTTGGGATTCAAACCAAGATGGATCGCAGCAACACCTGACAAAACGAAACAAACAATTGGGAGTAGAAAACAGTGATTTGAAAACGTATTGATACAATTAATGTAGTCTATACATACGGATATGGAGAGAAAGAAAGAAAGAGAGAGAGAGAGAGAGCACAAGACAATCGTTACAAATGTGAGGGGTGACAGATACCCTGTGCTAATTTTTGAAAAGGTTTTAACAGGGCCTTTACAATTCTATCAACTACTTTCAGCTGAAGGGGATTTTTTTAAAAAAACTTTTATCTTCTGGATATCATACTAATTCATTTGTATTTGTCTTTATCCATGTCTTTGGTATTGATACAGTATTAATAATATCAAATGGTCTCATTGGGAATACGAAATAGTACATGTAATCTTTGTGATAACATTTAGGGATTTCGGAAATATGAAAGTGACCTTTTCATTTATACACGAAACCAGATGGGTTTACGGAAAGATCTGAAGGTTGATGGTTATCAATCTACCTTAACAGTTGCTGCTATCATTTCAACTGAAGCGCCCTATGATAGGAGGAATCGATGAAAAAATACCACGCAAATAATCACGCATGCAATAATTACTAAAACGTTATAGACGATTGATCATGTCAACTCCTTGTCATGGTTTTATTATCGTCAATGCGCATTTCATGAGAAATATATTTACCTTTAATGAATACACAAAATTGTAACGAAATCTTTTATTTTTAGAGGGCTTTTCAGAACTATATATATCTAGGCATATTATTGATAATTTTTATCACACGTGATAAACCTTGACGACCTTTGTGTATATTCAGTCTGGATGTTTGCCATTACCATTATTATTGTGTACGTTTGTTGATAGAAACGCTAAAAAAGTGAACTTTGCAAGATTTAATGTACAAGAGGTATAAAAGAAATGGATACATAATTTACATACACCATGTACACTGTTAAAACAAGTATTAAAAAACTGCGGGTTAAAAAATTGTTGATTAAAAAACGCTCAACCTTGGTTAAAAATGTAGTGTTGATTAAAATTTACTTTTAATCTTGCGTTGGTTAAAAACAGTGTTGATCAAAATTATTCCTTTTAACCTGTGTTGGTTAAGTCTAAGTCGTTGGCAAAAATTGTAACCCAGCATGGATTAAAAACAAAATTCCGACAGTAATGATAGCCCCCTTCTGGTTAAAGTTTAATCAATGTTGATTAAAGTACTGGTCACGTGACCCAACGGAACGATATCGAAGCGCGTAGCTAGCGATCGCTCGACATACAAACAAAGTACATGCAAAGTACATGCAAAAATTAACAATGGAGGTTGTCGCGAGGACCTGAGAAATGGGGGTTTGGACGGTCTTATCTCCGTGTTTTCAGGTAAGAAATTATTTTAATATTATCATCATCAATTCTAAGATTGTAAGGAAGAAGTGAAATAAGGTTCTTGCTCAAATCAAAAACGATTTGTGTCCCCTAGGCTGTACGTAGCTCAACCAATAAGTAACATTTCACTTGCACCGTGCACCTGGCTCTCTCGTAAGCACAGTACACACACACTCATCAGTCTGCAAGAATCTTCAACCGTGAAGGAGGCAGACCAAATTACAAAAGGAGAAGTGTAGGCCTATTACGCATCACCTACCCAAATTGCATGCATGAATAATAATCTTATTTTTTAAGTCTAATTGTATCTAATTGTTTAAAACAATTAAATATAAAATAAGATGTCATCATAAAGTGAAACGTCTTTATGCATGCAATTTGGGTAGGTCATCCGTTACATTTACTGGCTGAGCTGAGCTACAACCTACGGGCCGGGACAAAAAGCGTTTTTAATTTGAGCAAGAACCTTATTTCACTTCTTCCTTACAATCTTAGCATTGATGATAATCATATTAAACAATTTCTTACCTGCAAACACGAGGATAAGACCTCCAAACCCCCATAAGTTTAACCAACAGTGGTTATAACTGTAACCAAGTTTAACCAACATCGTGTGAATCAAAAAAGAATTAACCTACAATGGTTACAATTTTAACCAACGGCCCATGTAAGTTTAACCAACATAATGTGAATCAGCCCCGAACAAAGCATAAATAACCAACAAAAGATTAAATTTTTAATCAACAAATGGTTAAAGTTTAATCAACACCATTTTAACCAACATTGAGCAAATTTGTTTAACCAATAATTGATTAAAAATTTTAATCAACCACAGGTTAAATTTTAATCAACAGACTGTTGGTTAAAGTTTAACCAACGATTGTGTGATTCACCTGGTAATCCGTGGTTGATTAAAATTTTAACCAACTTGATTAAAAATTGTAATACTTGTTCTAACAGTGTAACGTGTTGAAAAATGGATATTGACAAAATACAAAATGACTTTTATTTGTACCTAGTAATTAGCTTGAACAATGATATTTAAGATATGTTTGTTGGCCAGTTGCACTCGTTGAGCAAAATGGTCCATCAACGGCATACAAGTTTATGCATTACGCTAGCATTGGTCTTTAGCTTTGGATGAAATTTCGAGGTTTTTCATCAAAATATGATATACCTGCTACGTGAGGACATGCCATGCTGGTTCCACTCAACGATCGATACCCATTATCAGATCGGTAATCTGCACTTAGAATGAGATGTCCGGGGGCGAAGATATCTACGCATGCGCCCCAATTTGAAAAGTAGACTCGGGCATCGTCATCCTGGATAGCACCGACTGTGATGGCCTGGAGGGGGTAAACGGTGTATGAAACAAACATGGTAATATAGGTAGTAATTGAAATATTACAACACAAAGGGGATAGTTTTCATAAAGGTTAAATCTGTTTACGAAAGTCATGGCGGTAATAAATTTCTGCATGAACAAATCAGTTGTACAAAAATTGAAACTTGATTTTTTTTTCTTTTCTTGTCAGGATCATGATCATCACGACTTGAAGGCCACATTGAAACTTATATACATGGGAGGCAGAACGGGACGAAGCTTTGGATGGGGAGCATTCAGATTTTTTTTCCAGATGAGAAAAGGGGCTTCTCTCACTAGGAAAAAATTCCCATTTCACAATTGAAAAATAATTTCCTGAGGTGGCATATTACTTATTAGCAGTAGACGAGGGCACCAAAAAGAAGTTTGAAGGAATATGCGGTAGTTAAAATAATATTGAAAGAGATAACACAATACCTCAGGAGCCCTAGCAGGTGAAAATGCACATGAATCTAAATCGTTGTTCATAGCGGCTACTACCACGGTGACCCCATCTCTGTGAAGGTTCCTCAGTGACTCGTCTACTGCTCTGATTCCCCCTCCACCGAGTGACATACTCGCAATAGCTGGACGTATACCATTACGAGCAACCCAATCCATACCTGAAACATAGAAAATTATAGGAAGGGAAGTGTCAGATAAAAACCATGCAAACATCTAATATTATATTATTAATATAGTAGGTTCAGCTTATATTCAGTAAAACATAAATAGACGTGTACTTTCATATAACTGTATCAAAAGAAATTAATTTCCAAGGAGATTAGGATTTCATTCAGTGATGAAGCATGAATTAATGGTTTCTACTATTAAAGATGAGCCCAATGAGAAACAATTCCTGCTTCTGCACAGTCATCAAGACTAAGGAACTTTGATCAGACATTATCCATATTAAAGCATTGCATTCATTCATGCTTTATCATCAAAGAAAAAAGTGATATTGTCAATTTAGTTTACTTACCATCGATAATGGCAGACCAAGAGCCAGGGCCGGAGCAACCAAGAACTCGTACGGCATATACTTTAGCGGCCTTGGCAACACCGTATCGCTTGCCAGCTATGGTACCTGCACAGTGTGTCCCATGCCCGTGACAGTCACCGTCATTCCCCTGTGAAAATAAAATAAAATGTATACACTTTTGTCATTTTCTTTCTTTCGAAAAGAGCCTTATAATACGAAATCATCTATGACTAGCGACAGTTGCTTAGAAAGAGAAAGAAGGAGAAAAAACTAAAATCGATGGAGGCACAAGAGCATTTGGACATAATTATGATGGAGAAACAACATGCTTAGGGATTTACTTGAATTGAAAATGAACGTAAAAAGGAAAGAGGACGACAATTTAAAACTGGGATAGAGTCTTGTTTGGTAGGTGACGAAACACAATCAGAAGGCTCAGGATAGAGAAGGATGGAGACACGACTAACCCAGGGGCCCATTCAAAAAATAACTTGCATCAGTGACAAATGACATTTTTTGTTAAAAGCTAGTGAAATCCTTGCTTCTGGGTTTTCAGCAGATTTTTCACAGATTTTTGTGGTTTGTCATTAAAAAAAGGCTTTGTGAAATGGGGCCCAGGTAGATCTGCAAATTTGGACTTGCTCTCTGGTAAAGTAAGAATAAGAAGACGACTACAACTAAGAGGAATGAGAAGAACGAAGACGAGGAGGAGAGGATGGTGGGGAAAAAGAGAAGTAGAAGAAAAGACAGGAGAAGAAGAAGAAGAAGAAGAAGAAGAAGAAGAAGAAGAAGAAGTAGAAGAAGAAGACGACGAAGAAGTAGTAGTAGTAGAAGAAGAAGAAGAAGAAGAAGAAGAAGAAAAAGAAGAAGAAGAAAAGGAAGAAAAAGAAAAAGAAGAAGAAACACTTACAATAGCGTAGTTCATGGCGTCATAGCTGAATTCCGCCCTGCCCTCGAAGTCCTCATGAGTGGTTCTGATCCCGGTATCAAGGACGTATACGTTCACACCACTCCCATTACCTAGGAAAGATGGACCAGGTTGGAGATTTGCTTCTTAAATTCTTCATAATCATAAGGAGACATCACCACAAATCACTATTTGTTTAAGGCTCTCCCGACGATTCAACTAGTATGAGTGCACGTCGCACTCAAAGCAGACGTACAAGCATAAATTATATCGAGATGCATATCTAGTTGTATTGTGCCATTTAGATAATACAAGGTAGTCTACAAGGTCTTAAATAGGGGGGGGGGGTTAGGCGGATGTGGTTGAATTTTCTGTGTTAGAAAAGTGTTAAAAGACATTTCAATTTTCCCTCAAAATGAAGATGGGAGGGGGGATGAAGTCCCCGCCCTTTTAAAGGTGAGGGATTACGTTCCCAACACCCCGCGTTTTAACGTCCTTGGAATAATTATGTAAAGCTAACCGTCATATTTCATCTACACTTACACTGTTTTGACTGTACTATTAGACTTCATCATTTACCGATAGGAGTGAAGCTGTCATCTAGAGGAAGGTCCCTTTGGTTGATCCGATCCAGACCCCATGTCTCCGAACCATACGCTACGCCATCTTCCTCTACGTACCGCACAGATGGATGGTCACGCACCTGTAGGAGGAGGAGAAGGAGAGAGTGAAAGACAGAGAGAGAGAGAGAGAGAGAGAGAGAGAGAGAGTGAGAGAGAGAGAGAGAGAGGGGGGTGGGTAATATGTTTTAAACAGCAACAGTCGATATAGAGATGAAAAAAAGACAGTACTTGAATTATTTAACTTGAAGCTGGATATACATTCTACAGCACCCAGAAATGTATTATAAAGCATAGTTATGAAGACAAAAGAAGAAGGTTTAATCATGTCAAGCACAAAATCTTGACTTTTTTGGGGAAGTCCCCAAGAGCATTACACAGCTTAAAGGTAATACAAAGTTTTGGTATGGGGTCATCAATTTGGTTCAAATGAACATATTCGAAGCATATGCGATCCTACAATATTCATTGATCGTTTTCGGGGTTGAAATCGAGTCTAAAGTTATGAAATTGTAAATAATACACTCTTTATGTGGTATAGCTCCTTCTTAAGGTCAAGATATAAATTAAGCTGTAAAACAATGTTTCTTGACTAAAATCGACCGATTAGCTTTTCCCGTATGGAAATTATATCAGAACTACATATTCTGATATTTTCAGGGTCGCAGCTACCATTGTTCGGCCGTAGGCGCTATTTGAAATTTATCAAAATTTACCGGGAGCACCGGTAAATTGTTATATTCAAATTTTCTCGAAAGCAGAAGTATTTTAGGGGCTAAATTTTGCAGTACTTGTAATACATCCACATGGGCATCCAAATATATCAAAATTGTAAAGAATCGCTATCCACCCAATTTTCAAAATTTCCCAAAACTTTGTATTACCTTTAAGTATAATCGGTTTATACATTTCATCGAAAATAAATCGCAACTTCTTGATTCAAGAAAAAATATATTTATTAAGAGGATTACTCACCACGGCTAATGCTGTTTTTGACAGGGAGATGGCAAATCCGTTCAGTACTCTGGTGTATTCTTTTATCGGGTTGTTTAAAGTTACCACTTTCTGGTTGGATTCTTCGCGTAGGGACTGAAGAACGTTTGAAAGCACTGCGTTTTTCTGCAAAATGAAGAAAAGTATACACTATTCAGTTGTTATATTTATAAATCTTTGAAAAGTAGCTAATATGTTGCCCGTGATGGACGTGACATTCCTTTTCTAGAATTAAACTGGAAACAAAGTTATGAAATGTATGTAATATTGAACAACATTACAAAATAGAAGAGTTAAACAAAAAATATTACCAATGAAGCAAATAGTAATCTGTAATATACCGTTAAAAATACCTGTCCAAATCGTTGTTTGGTGGCTACAGTCTGTATGTAGATGTTGTTTAATTTCATGGAATGAATCAACTCATCATTTAACGTTCTTTCATTAATCCTGTCGTAGACTTCATCACAAATCTGCCGCTAATTTACCAGTTAATCTTACAATCTATTCTTTCAGTTATTCTTTACAATTCTCTATACATTAAGAATCTCTAGCAATCACCTATCTAGGTTCAGCTTTACTCTTTCAATGTGTACGACAAAGAGTATTCATACGTACTTGTTTAACATTTAGTTACCTTAAGGACCACGATATATTGTTCCTTGATGGCTTCACTTGTTCTAAGTAGAGGAGCTCGACGGGCAACCACACAAGACAGCAAGATGGAGAATGAGAGGATGAAGATTACAACCCGCATTGCTGACGTCATCATGAAGGTTGATCCTTGTTTTTTCTCTTCAAAATATGAATATTGATATATTCGGAGATTTCTTTTTTTGTTCCGATGTTCTGAGAATTAGATAACGATATCCAGTCTATTTAACCAAAACGCAATTCCAGTTTTAATGTCGATTCGTCTGATGTAAATTTAGGGGTGACATAAACATTACCCATACTCACGAGGTGATAAAGACAGGCCTCGAGTAAATGATCAAAGTTCAGTCAGAACAATAGGATGTAACGATAACCCTCAGTAAATGGGAAAAGCTGAATGAATTCATACGATGTGATTACAATACAAAATAACTTTATTCAGCCAAATCGCTTTTAATAAAATAAAAAATAGGCCTATATGAATAAAAAGTATATATTGGTCTGCTTCGAAATGTAATGTAGATTTTTCTTTGGAATGAGACATGCCATTTTCATGAGATGAACAATATATAAGAGGTGAACTCAAAGGGATTTAGGTATTGTAATTTCTGTTTTTATGTATATTATAATCGATCAAAATTAATAAATAAAACCCCAACTTTTCATAGGCATCTAGGATTAGTTATTTGTACAAAATTAATCATAGTGACGTTTTTAGAGATAATGAGCACGTACATATACGGTTTTAATTAATTCGTATGATACCTTTAGATTATACAAATGTAAACTGCTAAAGCGCATAATTCAAATTAAAGACACAACTTCGCCGGGGACCGTGGCTTTACTTCTTAGTTCTTTCGATGCGATCTGAACAAGTAATGATCTCAGGTGCTTACAGAACCGTAGCTCAAATATCTGGATTCCAGCAGGTAATAACGATGCTGCGCCAAGGAATGATCTAATTTGTTTATACTTACTGTATTTTCGAAGACAATTGTTACGATTCCAGCAGTAATATTCCAATCTTTGATACCCAGGACCAGGCGCGTACGCAGGATTTTTTCAAGGGGGGGGGTTTAACATTTATAAATCGGTCCGAAAATTTCGCAACGACTCAGCCAGCCGCTGAATAAGCGGGGGGGGGGGGGGGGGGGGGGGGGGGGGGGGGGGGGGGGTAAGAGGACACATTTTTTTTTTTTTTTTGGTCCCAAAAAAAATCGCAACTACTCAGCCGACCGCTGAATAAGCGGGGGGGGGGGGGGGGGGGGGGGGGGGGGGGGGGGGGGGGGGGGGGGGGGGGGGGGGGGGGGGGTAAGAGGACACTTTTTTTTTTTTTTTTGGTCTCGAAATTTGACATTTTGCTCCGTTGGGGGGGGGGGTAAGGTCACCTTTTTTAGGTCGGCCATGGGAATAATTTTTTTTTTTTTTTTTTTTAATAATTAAAAAAAAAAAAAAAAAAAAAAAAAAAAAAAAATCCAAAAGGGGGGGGTTTTAGTTTTTTTTTAGGGGGGTTTACACACAAAAAATTTCCAAAGGGGGGGTTTTAACCCCCCAAACCCCCCCCCCTGCGTACGCGCCTGCCCAGGACTCTAACCTCCTGTAAATATCTGAAGAAAAAAAAGTATCCACACTCTACGTGCTCTGTTCCGATTGACAAGCCATGTACAAATTTACACAACAGAAGCTATACATTTGGACTCCATACTCTATTTTCATACACCGATTAGGGGCAGGGTTTATCAATTATTTACACGACTAACAAAAGATTTTCTCGTTCAAACAATCGTAATGAGGCCATTTAAAATTCCAAAATGTTATTTGTTTACGTATGCCATGTATTATATCTAGGGGAATGCATTAGAAAAACGTTTAGGGTGTTGATCGATTAAATAACAAACTTGAAACAGACAAGAGCATTTTTAAATAAAAGCTATTTTGCGAATCTGTTGAATTTTCTTCTGAAAATCTTTAAAAATTTATCTGGACGATTCGTGTCGACGTCTATAGTTCTAATTTTCTGTAAATGGTAGATGCTACTTCTAATAAATTTCATCAAGAAATGTCTTGAAGAATATGATATAATTGTAAGTATGGCACTCTCTAAAAGGTAACAGTTTTTGAAACAATAAAGCCACAACCAAATGCCTTAATATAAGGTGATTTTATTGAAAATTCAGAATTACAGAAAGAAAGTTTTCAATCATCATGCTACGATGTAAAGGCTAAGAGTAGAATTGGTTTCAAAAATACATATTATTGCCGAAGATTCGTTTAGTAGAAGAAAAAAGAAAATCAGAAACATGGTTAGAGAAATAAATCTAAGGAATAATGACTTAGTAAGAGTATATATATTCCATGTCATTAATTCGGCAATTATGATGCAAAAGAATAAACACACGTTTTCGACACTTAATAAGCCCTATTTGTCTGAGTTCAGTTTCCTCCTCTCGCGCGAAAGCTTTGACGTTTCATTAATATAGTACACGAGGATCGAGCAAGAACACCGACACAGCTGACCCGACACAGCACCATATTTACCCGTGTCTTTCTTGCTCCCTCGACGAGACGACTCCACCCAACAACCCCTCCTCTCTTTCACTCCCACTCCTCCTCTCTCAGGCTCTTACCTCCCTTCTCTCTCCTCTCTTTCATCCCCGTTTCTTTTGTTTCCCTTTTGCTCTTTTTGCTTCTTTTCTTTCTTTTGTTCTTTCCTTTCTTTCCTCTCCCCCCTCTTTTTCTTCTTTCTCTTTCTATCTTCTCTTTTCTTTCCTTTCTTTTCTTTTCTTTCTTTCTTCTTTTCCTTTCCTTTCCTTGTTTTATTTTCTTTCCCTTTCCCTCTTTTTTCCCTCCCCCTTTTCTCTTTTTTCCGACAGCAGCGCAATTTTACCGACAATATCCTGACAGGTGGGGGTGTCGCACCCCCCCCCCCTTTGGAGATGCCCCTGGTTACCTTTGATGTCCGAGGTTCGAAGCCGCCAATTTCATTGGAAAGCTTGAGTAGTGATTTTGTCACAAAGAAATATCCTTAATATTTCACTTTTTATATGAAACTAACAAGGGGAAAATCGAACAGATGATAAAATATGAATACAAAAGCCTAATTCGTCGCTGTTTTCACGAAGTGACGGTAGTGAAAAAAAAATTGCATTCACTTTGCGTTACGATTTTCCGCAATACCGTCACTTCGTGAAAACAAGGACGATTATTGTGCCAAGAAATTTGCCTACATTGTATGATAGCAGCTTTAATTTGTGAAAATAGTAAAAAATCACAGTCCTAAAACGTATCTGCAAGGAAGATCCAGTCAAGCACATGCCTGACATATTTTCTACTGGCGGCATCGAATATGGTACAAAAAGAATGAGCTAGATTGGACTCCATCTCTTACAACTTCTTGATGGGATCAATTCAAGATACACTTGGATGCCTTTGTACACGTACGTGCATGCGTACAGCTTTATTGGAGCCTTCAATGTCATTTTGTCATACAAATATTATAATTTGAAATTCACGCATTATTGTCATTGGTCGGTCTTATTTTTTTATACACAAGTGAACTCCAGAAAATATCGAACCAAGATAAACAAAATAAAATTGTCCTAAAATACTTAGGTGACTTTGAGAACACAATGCGTATAGCTTACGGAACCCCCATCTTAACAGGGGCGGATCTAGCTTTTTGCTAGGGGGGTGACCCAATGACGATACTGTGTGAGTCTGGACACATGATGGCGTTTTCTATTCACATCACATTTTCACTTGGCAGCCCCCCCCCCCCCCCCCCCCGTAGATCCGCCACTGCGTAATACGCCCTGATGTCGTATATGGACAGCGAACGCTATTCATATCACTACATGACAACAGCGACAAAAATAAACATTGTATTATCCCTTTGACAGGTTGTCTGTTTGTGTGCAAATCCTTTGAACTTGAAAGGTGGGAAACTCGTTCATATGACATTCCACTGCGTGCCTTGACGGCGGGAGCAAACAGTAACATAATACCTGAACCACTTTTTTCTTAATTCGACTGCTATATATAAAGATGATGTAATTGAGAAATTTAATATGAGAGTCGTTCGGCTAAGAGCAATTCTATATAGTAGGAACGCGTTAACAAAACCATGGGCGTGGCAACGCATAGAACTATACATCTAAGTTCAATGAGTGGATCGTTTGTATTACTATTATGTAGCTGGGAAATACCCACTATGGCACAATACGCACTATAGCACTGCACCTCTCTAAATTCAGTTGCATATACAAACAAACTGCACGCTGTATTAGTAACATATCACATGAACATCATTGTCTCATGGTGGAGAAGCCCTCATCGCAATGGGATAATACAGCAATAGTTCGTAAGTTATATATTTCATTTGTAATAAGAAAATCTTAGACATATAGGACGTTAGATAAATAAAGTTTGTCTTCGCTGTTAGTTTCATTTCGAGCAAAACATTGGTGAGTTTATTTGGACGCAGGCGCGTACGCAGGATTTTTTCAAGGGGGGGGGGGGGGTTAACATTTTTAAATCGGGCCATGATCAAAGCGTAGAAGATATGACATTATTCATACTCGCCTGACTAAGTATGAATACATTAGTCATAATGTACTGACGGGCAATAGGGAAAAAAAGACAAAATAATCCAGGAAAGATTAGATAAAATGCTTGATATTCATTCTATAATTATGTTTCTGCTTTTCTATTCCCCCTCCACTCATTTATTTGGAATTCACCCCCTGGTATTTGTTACAATGCATTTTTATTATAAGCTATAATTGTACGAACAGGACAAAGAATTTTTCCCGGTGTTTCAATAACTCGTTGCTTGTCTCATGATGTATTAAATGCATCCATTGCAGCTTCATCTTTCATCTACACTACACGCCATGGCGTCAAGGTTTCCTCCAGAAAACGGGTTCAACTGAGAGCAAGAAAAGGTCATGACATGAATTGGTCATGTGACAAGCACGCTGAGCCAATTGCTTTTTACTGTAAAAAGCACGATATTCCTATTTGCCACCGATGTGCGACCAAAGATCACGGCCAGAAACCATGTGAGCTAGACGACATCGAGGATGTCATCCTGGAGAGGAGGAGAAAACTGGATGA